TTAATGTTTATGAGTTTTCATTAGATAAAAAATTCAAAGAAAGATTGCTAGTATATCAATGTTGAAGATCTCTTCCCATTGACATAGGGGTTTGATCATAGTTTATGCCGGAAAAAAGTCACTTTTGAATTATTAGAAATTTTATTTTAAGTTATGAAGGGTTCTTAATAAGAATTTGCTGTCAAGTGCTTGTTAGCATACACTTATCACATTATTCACTGCTTCTCAAAATTTCATGAAAATCTCAAACATTATAACCAGATATTTGATGTTGAGGATACTATTTAGGGATTATTACTGGCTTTTCGTACAAGAATTCATGTCACTATTTATTATTGCTCTTGCAAATATTTATTTCAGCAGTTTGGTGGGATACAAGAACTAAATTAGCATCAATATTTTAATTTTCACAAGCTTTTCTCAATTACTACAAAAATAATGCATAATATGTACAATAGTATTATCAAAAACATATAAAAGGAGTGCATGACTTCTCTATTCCTGATTTCAATAAAAACATCTCTGGTGGTTCTGCATTGAAAATAAATTATCATGTTAGCTGAGAAAACAATAATAAAACTTGCTTAAACTGCTTTATTTTATATCTGAGTTTGGAAAATAATATAGACACAGTTCGCCCAACAAAAAAAAATGATTTTTAGAGTTGATTAAAGAAAATATACAAATATTAACAAATTATTGAGTACTGACCAAGAATAACTTAAAACATATATTAATTCTGAAATGAATTAGCTTTATAAACTTTTTCAATCTTAAATTTCCTCGAACATATACCTCCATAGTTTATAACAAAGCCTTTCTCAAAACGTATTTAAATTTAAATTTGAAAATTATAGCTGGGTTTAAAGTTTTTAAGTTAAAGTAATATAAAATCATTATTTGTTACACAGAATAATTTTTTTTTTTTTTTTTGCAATAAGACAATATGACATGTTCATGAAATGAGATGACAATATGATTTTCCAAACTCAAGATATAAAATAAAGCAGTTTCAACATGTTTAATTTTTTCTTTCTCAGCTTATAAGGCCCATTGGACCAAATGGACAATGACAACTTGATTTGTTTCCAATTCATAATAATCATTAGAAATTGTTTTATTGAAATTGGCATTGTCACACAGTGCACTCAACATGTAAGTAAACAATCTTCATAATTAAGAAATCTTAAATAATTATGAACCGGTGTGCCAATGGAATTCCATTCATCACCTGCAGTAAACTGATATAACGTCATTTACCAATGAAAACAATATCATAATAGATTGGTTCCTTCGAAGACTTCAATGAAGTCATTATAATATGGAATACCAAATTAATGATGAACATTACTTAAAAAGGTGCTACTATAATAATGAATTTCATAACTTAGCAATTCATGAAGTAAAAATCCTGCCAGGACCTTAAGAACCATTAAAAAATATGAGAGAGAAAAAAATAAAAATTCGTTTGTGCTAAACTTCTTTTTCCAGCCTCAGGAAACCCTAGAAATTGCTCCCCTTTACCTTAAGCACCACTACTACATAATTCTGCAATGATTTAAATTAAATGTTGTAATTAATATATATTATGGATTATTCCGTAAATACTGAAGCATTTAAAAAAAAATCTACAAGGTAATTAAATAAAGAAAAATTACATTTAAGGAAAAGATTAACACAATTGACTATAAAATGAAAACATAAAGATTATTTGTTATTAATAATATAAACTGTATACTATAAAATTAGTTCTTCCAATAAATGAAATATATCAATTGAAATTTGATTTAGCACCCCATTAAATGGGGAATGGAACAGATCTAAATTATGTTAAACTATAGAATAATGGTTGATAACCATAAAAAGAAAACATCACTAGTATTTACTATACATAAAATAAATACAGATAGATGGTTTCATTCCCGAAGTTTGTCTTTCATAAAAATGCACATACAATGAAGTATACAGAATCGAGCATTCAGCAATTTAACTATCACATAACTATAAAGAGCCATGCACATCTAGCAAAAACATTTTATGAATTTTTTTTTTCCCTAAATACCTTTGCTAGGGGGTGTAGCACATTTTGAAACTTAAAATAATTTGTGAAACAAATGGATCAAGTGTGTTTTGAAATTGACCATCTTTTACAATGTTAACCTTTTTTTTTTTTTCTTTTTTTTTTTTTCAATGGAGATCAAGATATTGAACCTCTAGATTTAGAAGAAGTAGCGGAAGCAATCTTGTGTCAATTAAAATAACTAAGACTCAGGACTGAATGGATTGCCAGCAGGATTCTTGAAGTATGGAGATGAGGAACTTTATTATATGACATGATCCTGTCTGTTTGGATACAAGAGGAAATACTGAGACAATTGAGCAGTATAGTCATATGCCTCTTGCACAAAAAAATAAATCAATTGGAATGCATTAACTATCATGGGATCTCACTCTTATTATGTGCATACAAAGTTCATTCTAACATCCTCTTCAACCTGCAATCTCCAATCGCCGAGCTAGAAATAGAGAGATATCAGACTGGTTTCTGGAAGGACAGATTGACCATCGACCAAGTATATATGCTAAGAATGATTTTGGAAAGAGGTCATGAGTAGAAGCTGCCAACTCACCATTTCTTTATTGAATTCAAAAATGCTTATGACAGCACAAAGCGAACAAAGCTGTATGAGGCACTGTCAGAGATAAATGTCCCAAATAAATTGATTCACCTTGTGATGCTGACAATGAGAGAAGAGTGGTGGAGAAAAGTCCATATACTATCTGATTTCTCATCTGAATTCACCTCAGACGAACGGTTGCAACAAGGAATGGCCTGGCTTGTCTTCTATTTAATTTTGTATTAGAAAAAGTAGTGAGAGAGTCCGGCATCCAGACACGAGGCACAATCTTCTCCTATATGGTGCAGATACTTGGTTACACCGATGAACTAGATATAGTAGCAAGGACTCGGCCATAGCTAGAAGAAACACTCCTGAATCTTTTAAGGGCAGCTTCAACCATTGGCCTTGTTGTGAATGAAGCCAAAACTAAGTATTTATACACAGGAAATCTGGAATTGGTTATTGTTCTTACACTTTTGAAATATTAATGGAGTTTAATTACTTTGAATCCCATGTGACAGCTTCTAATGATATGAGGTCGTGATGGCAGAGCGTGTTAAGAGCACTGCCTGTTTTAGTTAATCTCATGTCAAGCGACGCTGGTTTGAATCCGGCCTGGGCAAGGTTGGCTTTTATTTCGTGTCAGACCCACGGAATGAAACTTGACCTTACCACTCTCATTAGAATTGGTTTGGTTGTACCTCTAGAACAACTCCCTGTATACCAGAAATGATAAGTAGACGGTAATCCAATAAAAAAAAAAAAAAGCTTCATATATGATAGCAGAAATAAAGAAAAAATTATCTGATGTGAATCGATACTATTTTAGATTACTGAAGACCTTTCGAAGCAGATTCTTGAGCAGGCAAACCAAGCTTACTCTTTATAAGACTTATGATAATCCAAACTGTTCTCACCAATGCCTCACAGACATGGACCATTTCCAAAAGTGACAAAAAGGAACTAATGATTTTTGAAAGATAAATCTTGTAGCGTATTATCGGTCCATTGAGAGTTGGCGAGGGATGCAGGATTAGATAGAATTGAGAGTTGTACCAAATATGTACAAGGAGGCTAACATTATCAAATTCATTAAGCTTGGGAGACTCAGTTGGGCTGGTCACGTGGCTAGGATGAGTAAAGAAGAAATCGCAATGAAGGTATCTGAAGAGGTTCTTCATAGGACCCAAAGAGTTGAAAGACCAAGGTTAAGATGGGCTGATAAAGTGGCATATGACGCAAGAAACCTAGGGATAATCAATTGGAAGGCGGCAGCATAGGACAGAGCTGAATGGCGGAGGCTTATTGAAGAAGCCAAGACCTACTCTGGGTTGCAGCACTATGGAAATAGACAGATAACATTTTTTTACTAGCGCTGTTCTCCAGTCTATCATTTGTCAGGCAAAACATGTGATACCATGAAAAAAAATTTCTACTCCACTTTATGTATTTTCACTCCTTTCATAAACCAAAAGCTTTAACGACAATAAAAAACATCAAGCTTTCATACATCTTGAACAATTTTTATACCAGAATGTAATTCTGATATACAGTTAAATATAAAATAAAGACAGTAGTCACAGAACAATTCTACATAACAGTTTCAAATATTTATAATTACATCTCTTTAATCATTTAAAACATTAAAAAAAGCTTTGAACTTCAAGAACTTTGAAAACCGCAAATTAGATATGCAAATTTAAACAAACGAAAAAATCAATAATTTAATTGAATTATGCATGATGACTCATACTACCTCAGAAAGTTTATAAAAAAGTATAATCTTAAATGATTAATGAAGCCATTAACAACAGCAAGAAGTACATTAAACTAAACTTTTTATCTGAATGCAAGTTAAAAGGCATGAATGTATGCAAGTGTACAGGTTTTTTGTTATAGAAGTATAAATATCAACTCCAGCAAAACAATCCCACAAAGGATTATTGAAAAGTGGCAACTATCAGCTTGGAATCATTAAATATAATTTAAAAGTGGCTGTATTATAAATAATTAATAAATTTAATACAACTTGTCAAAGTTAAGAGAGGCTGACACTAATAAATTAATGACTTAAATGTAAATACTTTAACATGACAAAATGATAGAAATACGGAAATTTAAATTCAAGAAAAACATTTTAAGGGAAAATTTGCATTGTTTTGTTTACAAAATAAAAATTGTAAACACAAATTTGAAGGCTTCGATTACTTTAACATTATCACATTTTAATCATTCATTAAAATAATTTAGATAATAAAATAAATTATGCTGTAAAAGATATGTACTATGACACTAATGAAATATGAAAAATAAGTTTAATTACTTATGCAGAGAATAGTAGTTAAATATTTGCATAATGACCTGAAGACGTACTACTACCTGGAGTATAGGTAACTTGATCTGAAGTCTTTAGACTTGTAGCTTCACTAGGAGCAGGCATAGCAAAAGCTTGCTGGGAAGTAGGTTGTGATGTAACAGCTGGTTCACCAGTTGCACCTTCATCCTCACTGTCCTCCTGTCACAAATGTTATAACTAATAATTTATTCATTGATTGATATATTTCAATAAAGCCTAAGATGAAAGCATGATAATGCTAAAAAGCAATTTAAGTAAAGAAATGATATATATTATAAAAAACATGTTAAATGAAGGACTGTTACATATTTGCAAAGTCATATTATTTGGTTTTGAAAAAATAGATTTAGTTATCACTTACCAATGTAAGGAATACATAGTAAGAGAAAAATATTGTAATCCTGAGTTTTCAATCTCAATACAAAGTTTTAAACTGAATGTTCAACAGAAATGCATTTTTAAGGTTCTTTGAGTCTTAACATCCAAGTCTCACAATATACAAATTTGTATAAACTGGGTGAATATGTGTGTAAACACGGGGACAAGCAATTTAGGGTGTCTGTGACTGAATAGTCTAGTAGTACACAAATAACAAATTGTATAAAACTGAAATTGTGTAATTAAAGTGGGTAGGTATACTCGTATGCATGGGATGTTACATCTTTCTCGTATATAATCTATTTTACACATTTTTCCTATCTTCTCAAAAATGGCTCAAACAATATTAATGAAACTTATCATTTCAGTGAACCATTAAGTTGTTTATAGTATCAGCTAAGTTTGATCACCATTGAAATAGTTTGTTATGGCTTAAATGCTGAATTTTCAAAAAACTTTTCTCTAAAGTATCTTAATTTTGTTTATTTGAAATAATTAACCATTCTTTGTTATTTGTAGAAATAAAAAATGGATAAATATACAAACATAAACTATTAAAGAGTTTGATAATTAATTAAAGAGTTAATATGAAGAAATATTCTGCTAGGGTAGAAACAAATTTCTGGAAACAAGAGAAGTAATATAATACAACGTTGGGAAGCTTATGATTTTAGAAAAATTAATAAATAATAAATTCTGCATCTATGTAATTTAATGAAAATTAAATCATTCTTTGAAAAATTAAATGGAATCTTTTAAAAATTATTTTACACTTGAACAACCAAAAATATTTAATGCATATCTACTGAGTAAGGGGAGAGATGCCGGATTGCATGCTGCGGAAAATTGTGAGAAAAGACATAGGGTAATGATTTATAATAAGCTGACTTTAGTTTTAATAACTTTAATCAAAAGACATGGATAAATGTCCCAACATCAAATGATTTAATGTTCATAATAAGAGAAATATAATCAATCAAGATTGTTCTAGGAGCAAGATTCAATCTCTGGAATGAAGATCCTTTAAGAGATTGTGACGAGTTAAATATTTCATATAAACCAGAAGCATACCTTTCTACCTTGCTACAGATATCTATTAACTATACAATGAACAGTATTTACTCCTTATAAGAAAATACGACAAAAGGAACAACTGTCCATTGATCACTTACCTTCATTCTACCCATCCCCTCACAATGATCCCTTCTAATCCCCTAAAGGGTTAGAAAAAAAGTTTGAAGGCAAAGATAATAAACCTTGACGGTTTTCTAGTTTGGAGGATGGATATAGAGTTGACAACCCTACCCACAAAAAAACTTTTGTTATGAACCCAGAAGCAAATAAAGTTATATGGTTTAAGGAAAACGACCTAGGCAAGTCAAAGAACCTTCATAAACATTAGTTTTAGCGACATAAATTGTTAGAGGATGGGCTTAAACAAGAACAAGCAGAAATTTAGAGGTGCTTGAGAAGTATAATATTGATGTAGCTGTACTGCAAGAGATAAAACGGGGTAAAACAGAGATCTCAAACAGTACACTATCAGAAATAGTGGTAATTAACAAAATGCCCAGGGCACTGCATTTATGATAATTGTCTGAATATTTTCTCCTGAACCAGAAGTAAAATAGTTGATGAAAAAATATTCATGGTTTGGATAATTTTGATAAACATTTCAAAATCCTTTTAAGTTCTAATTGCCTTAGATCATTTTAACATCTGACCAAGTTTCAAAACTATAAATTACAACTCCTACATGCTCCGCCCATCTTAAACTTTGTGCCTTCATATCATGGGATATTGATTGACCAGTTTCTGTAACCAGTTCTTTATTAGTCTTTCTTCTCCATGTGTTAGTACTCTGATTCCAGACCGCTCCGAATACAGTGCAAAGGATTTTCCCCTAAAATCTTTCAACATATTTTCTAGGGTGCTGGTTAGTGTCCAGGCCTCACAACCATATATTAGAACTGGCTTTATCGGGGCATTCTATACCCTTAATTTGAGATTTCAATACCTTTGAAAGGGAGAAGAAACTTCTGTTTGCATTAGTTATAAGCTGGCCTATTTCTGCCCGTTGGACATTCATTGAGGTTATAGTGGAGCCGAGGTAATTGAATTTTTCTACTCTTGGGAATATTTTTCCTTCTATGCAAATATAGTTATTGGGGTGAAATTTTCGGCTTATTATGATATATTTTGTTTTGTCTTAATTTACTTGTAAACCGACCTGCTCTGACTTTTTTATCAGAGTTTTAGCGAGTTTTTCAATGTCCTCTTGATTACTTCCAAGAACAGCTATATCATCTGCGTATCCAAGGATTTTATGACTCATTCCGACATTTTGATGGACCTTCCATTTTTATGTGATCTTATTATCTTCTCTAGGGCTAAGTTATTCAACATCGGTGATAGTCCATCTTCCCGCCATAAGCCCGTTCGAAGTTTGAAGGCTACAGATACTTCCTTATATTAGGACTCTACATTTAGGGTCATTTGTCAATCTCACCAATTTACGAGTGGATTCCCAGTTCAATCATGAATTTGCAAATCAGCTCATGTCCACAGAATCATAGGCAGCTTTGAAATCGACAAATAGGGCATGGCTGTCCTGATATACTTTCCATCGTTTTGCGATTACTTGTTTTAGAATGAATATCTGATCGAGCATGCTCCTCCCTTTTCTGAATCCAGCTAAGCTTGGTAGTCACCTACTATATTTTCATAATACGCCCTATTTAGTAGGATATTGGTCATTAATTAGTAGGCAACCGAAAGGAGTGCTATGCCTCAGTAATTACTACACTCATACATGGAGCCTTTCTTCAGGATAGGACAGATGAGGACCTGTATTCCAAACCTTAGGTATCCTTTCCTCTTCCCATATTTTCTGGATTAGTTGTAGTAGCTTGGCTTTCAAGTCGTCTTCCCCATCTTTAAACAGTTCTGATGGTAAGTTGTCTACCCCTGAGACCTTCCTTGTTTTGAGTCTTATGATAGCTATTTCTACATCCAGTATATTTGGTTTTTCAACCTCTTCTGGGTCAAAGTCCTCAGTATGGTCAATGTCTTCTTTGTTCGTGGGGTTCCCTTGATTGAGAAGTTCCTGGAAATGTTCTTTCCAGATGTTCAATATCTTTTGATATCCAGATGCTATCAGAATGCCATATTTTCCTCACATTTGCGTATTTCTCACTTTATATCCTACTCTTTCTTTTTTAATGACTGCGAAGAAATCGCGTACAACTCCAGCCTGACAGTTGCCCTCAATGGTTAGCAATCTTTCTTTGAATTATCTTTTTGCCGATCTTATAGTTTTGTTTGCCTTTTTCTTGGCAAATGTGTACTTGTCCTGAGCAGCTTGATCAGTTGTAGTTAGGCAGAGGATTATTATTTTTCTTCTTTCCTCTACTGCCTTTTCATATGCTTCTGTGAACCATATTTTAGCTCTTCGTTTCTCTTGAATACCGATCACTTCCTTGGCTGTTTCTTTTAGTGCTTTCTCTATTTCCTCCCAGTGTTGGCCCAGCATGAGGCTATCTGAATCCAAGAATTCAAATTTATGTTTCAGGTCAACTTGGAATTTGGTTGTTACTTCAGGATTTTTCAAATTACGGACATCGTATCTCCTTCTTTCCACTCGATCACCTATTTTATGAATTAGCTTCAATTTCTGACATAGTTTAAGTTCAATCAGAGAATGATCTGAATCACAATCTGCTCCACAATAGCTTCTTGCATCTTGTATTGAACTCTGATATCTCTTGTCTACCAGCACATGGTCAATTTAATTTTGTTTTTCGTTTCTTTGGAGCTAATCCAGGTGTACTTGTGGATGTCCTTGTGTAGGAACATTGTACTGCTGAACATTAGACCATTAGCTGCTGCCAGACTGATACATCCCACTCCATTTCCATTGCTATTTTCTTGAGGACTTTGGCCTCCTATAATTGGCCTGAATTGGGGTTCTCATCCTATCTTTGCATGGTCCGTGATCAAATCCAAGGTCGTTACCATGTATGGACAGTCCGGTTTTCCGAGGCTTTGTTTTGGTTTTGTAATAAGGTGTTTTTTTCAGGATAGGATGATTAGCCCTATGTCCAACCTCCAATCAGGAGGACCAGGAGAGAGGGTGTAAGACACAGGGGTTCCTCACCTCCTAGGGAATCTCTGGGAGGGAGCGTTACCGTTCCCATGCAAGTATCGAAACCGCGCCATAGAGGTTGAAGTAATCAGGTAACACTTGCAATTTTTATTTTTTTAAATGTTTTTACTTATTATCTTTTTCGTTCCCACGAACGGGATTTGAACTCATGATTTTTCGATTTTGATAAGAATTGAAACATAAAGCCTCTATGCGTATTTTTGCAGGTGCCTTAACTCTCTCGACTACCGCAGCCCCCGTTGTATAGGTATATTTTAAAAATTGTGGTAATTAAAAATCTTCATAATAATTAGAAAATTGACCAATTTATAATTTGAATATTACATTTAAGTAATCCAGTTAATTATATTTTCAAAAAGTTTGTGATATTGGTGGATATGGTGAACACTGATTGCAAAGCCGTATATATATTTTTATTTATTTTCTTTTTAAACAGCCCATTTTCCAAATATATGCATAATCTTCTAATATAATATTATGTCTCAACTTGGAAAATAAATATTTATTTACTATCTACTAGCTGTTTATTTATAATTGTAATAAAGATAAGTAGGTGGCTCGATTTTATAAAAATTAGGCAAAAATGCCAAACAAAAAAGATGATGAAAGATGCAGG